CAGTATAACATATCATTTTCTAGAATTAAATTGACAACTTTGGGGAAATATGCATCAAAGCAGTTTTATCAAGTAACAAAACAACAAATATACAAACTTAACGCACATCAACATACAAACACTTTGGTATTGGGGCTTAAGACTACCTTGCTAATAAATTAAGTATGGTATTTATACTTGAACCTTTCAGTCTTGGAACATTTAACATTTCAACTCGTTTTATATGGAAAATATAGGATTTTCCAGGATCAATGTCATTCTTTTACAAGTAAACAGATTACAGTTTAACATTCTGGAAACAAAAAGGCGATTACTTATCGGAAACAATGATTTACAGTAGAGCATGTGAAACTAGGAACGTGTTTACAAAAGACCCAACCTTTATTTACAAGTCACCTTACTTATCGTTCATCACATCAGAAAAATATAGGATTTTCTGGAGGAAAACATTTTCAAAGAACAGAGAACATACTTTCCAAAACAATATGTTTATGAACCCACCAACTTTAATGTTGTCACTTTTTCAAACCACTTGTATTCTCAGGAAAATTAGTAGACAGGTACGCTCTCGGGCGTTTCGAAGACGGAGCATAGTAGCATTACGTCTTATCTTTTGGCTATAGTTTTATGTTAACTATGCAATGTTTTGAACTAAATGTAAACTACATATTATTAATATAATGATTGTTGTTGCTTTGATTACTACTATTCAATTGTTGTGATATTGTACATGACGTCCTCCGCCCTCGAACATTTATGCCGTTTCGGTTTGGGGGTGTGACAGTACGGGTTTTGTCTTTCAGTAGTACGAGCCCATACTACCTTTCACACCTACCTATATTTGTCTCAAGGATCATCACAAACAACCCAAAACAAGTACAACAACCAGGATACACGTACATCCTATCCTCACTCTATCGAGAATAACCAAACATTCCTCATTTGGTCAGCTACTCACACATATATTCATCCAGGAAACTTCCACTAACCCTGGAGACACTCGTGTGCATCATACATCGGGCAATTCTATCGTGCAATTCCTGAAGATCCCTAGCCTATCACTAGCATGCAGTTTTATCATGATTATCATAAGCAAATGACAATGTTGGTGACTTGCGGTATACTTTATGCTCCGCTTGATCGCGCACATCACGTCCTTCTTTGGTTACATTTGAAAACAATTATGAAAACGACTTTTAAACACTATTTTGGAATTTATTTTGAAAACTTGTACAAATCCTTAGTTTGAGTATGGATTCACACGAATGTTCATCTAATTCTCTCAAACCAGAGCTCTTATACCAACTTGAAACATCCCAAAAATCACGATAAAATTTTTCATTTTTAACTTAAAAGAAACCATTGTTTTCAACCAAAACGTCACGAGAGATGCTCACGACGTGACCAATATAATGTCACGACGTGAGGACGAATCAGACATAAAAATAATATACGACTCTAAATAGATCAATAAAACGAGACACTCCTAAAACTCATACTAAAGGTGCAATTTACACATAGTTAACCCTCCTAGGTCCGATTTTGAATAGATTGGAGGCGTAAAGCTTAAATTTTTTTAATCAAGGCATGTATAATCATTTATAACACTTTGTAGTTAAATTAGGGCAAAGTTTGAAGTTTTGGTTGAAATCCTATACGAAGGGTTTGAGTTCAATTCATAAAATAAGGATGTTATATGATATATTATGACTTCATTCCAGTTGAATACCATGTTATTGAACCTTGTATGTTAAATTTGATTCATGAGAATTAGGGTTCATGAGTGAAGAAATAGGACTTAATGAATTAAGTCTTTGAATGTTGGATTTTTATGTATGTAATATTATAAATTAAACACGATATGAGTATTTATTGATTGATATACTTATAAATTATATTCATGATGAATAGATGATATGGTTTCACATATGAGAATTTATGTTTATGACTTGAAATATGTAATTGATCTTGTTGATGATATTTCTAAGATAATTGTGATTAGGAAATCGAGAGGAAGGACCGAGCAAGGAAGTTCCAAGGTTGGGATATCATCCAAATAAACCATAAGGGACAAGGTGAGTAAACTTTGATTTCCTCATATATTGATTTAGAGATTATTGTTATACTTAATTAGATTTCAAGAATTTACAATTGCAATGTCATGTTTACAATATATGTGATTTATGAAAGAGAATGATCGATAGAGAATGGAATTCGATAATAGCAAATCCACGAGAGATGATTAGGGTGGTGTTATGTATGAAAAATTAATTGAGATGATCTTGATGATATACAATATGATATTGAATGAGATAACTATTTCTTGATACGAGATAGTGATATTAAATGGAGTTATCAAGGATATATGAGAAATATATATCATACCCATGATGGGTATATGAGCTTTTGATACAAAATATGATATTGTGATATAAAATATTAAAGACATAGAAAGAAGGTACTCACTAAGCATTAAGCTTACTTTTGTTAATTGTTTTATGATTACAGGTACAAGAGTTATGGATAAGGGAAAGAGCTTAACGGAGTAGCCATAGTGTTTCTCTTTTGATAAATAAACTCTAGAGTGTTTTGTAAAAAAATTTGTAAACCTGACTCGAACCCAATGATGTATAATTATTTTTCGATGTAAACAATAATAACTTGTATTATGACTTATTATGAAGTACATATTTAAAAAAGTCTAGTGTAATTTATTTTGTCGGGTGTTACAGTTTCCATTGAGTACACGGTCTTTAATGAAATGGTATCATATATCTATATGTTTTGTCATGGAGTGCTAAATTGGATTATGAGAAATTACAATTGCACTTTTTGAGTCACAATAGATTAGATCTTTCTTGAACCGATAACCATAATCTAACAGTTGAGATTTCATCCAAATATCTTGAGATATACAACTTGCAGCAACAATGTATTATGATTTGGTTGTGGACAAGGCAATGCAGTTATGCTTATTTGATAACCAACTAATCAGTCTTCCTTCGAGGAATTGGCACCCCATATAAGTACTCTTTCATTTAAGTTGGAGTCCACCATAGTCTGGGTCAGAATAAGCTTGCAAGGAGAAACCATTATATGCGGGGTACCAGATTTCGAGGTTGTTGTTTCCTTTGAGATATCAGAATATTTGCTTTACAACAATCATGTGTGATGTATTCAGAGAATCCTAGAACCGAGCACATAGGTATGTTGAAAACATTATGTATGGTCGACTTGTCGTTCGATAAAGAAGTGATCATATCATGCCTTTATACTTTTTCATATCGACAGATTCACCGGATGGGTCAGAAAACATCTTATGTCTGAAGCCCATTGGTACATTTACAGAGGTACAAGAATCTACAAAGTATTTCTTCAAGAGCTTGGATACATATTTATCCTGATGGATGAATATGCCTCGGTTTGTTTGTTTTACTTGTAATCCGAGGAAAAATCCTAGCTATTGACTCATACTCACTTGAAATTTGTTCACCATCAGCTTTACAAAGTCTTGAACCTTAATGGGATAGGTCGACCTAAATATATTGTCATCCACATAAGTATAGACAAGCATAAATGCTTCCATTTGACATTGTGAATAAAGTTGGATCAAGGGTTCCCTGCTGAAAACTCGAATGACTAAGAAAACATGTTAGAGTATCATACCAGACCCAAGGAGCATGTTTAAGGCTATACACTACCGTTTGAAGTTTATAACAGTAATTATGGAAAGAAAGGTTGACAAACCTAAGTGGTTGTTTAAGATAAACTTCTCCATTAAGTTTTCCATTCAAAAAGGCGTTTTTAACGTCCATTTGATATACTTTGAATGCCTTATGAGCAACATAAGCGAGAAAAAATTGAATGACTTCAAGATGTGCAACATGTACGAAGGTTTCATTATAGCCTAAACCTTCTATCTGAGTGAATCCCTTAGCCACCAGTATTGCTTTGTTGTGTGTGATTACCCCAACGTTGTCCAACTTGTTTTGGAAAACCCATCTTGTACCAACCACATGATGATCCGAAGGAAGAGGAACCATAGTCCATACCCAATTTCGATCGAACTCTGCTAACTCCTCTTGCATAAAAGTTATCTAGTTGGAATGATCCAAAGCCTCCTTGATGGACTTCAGTTCAACGAGATAGATAAAAGCTACATGATGACATTCATTTTGAATATCAATAACATATCTCGTTTTTTAATCAAATTAATCTCAAAATCATCTAGTAATTGTTTAAACGGAAGCAAATATTTAAATTTTTTGATGGATTGAAAGTTTTAAAAGTAATAAAAAGTTTTAGCGAACTCACAATCTTTACATTTTGGAATCAATTCTCTCAACTCCATAATTAAGTTTGGAAACATGTAACAACGGAATGGATTAATGGAATAAGAAGGTATTTGAGATTGAAATTATATTTGAGTTATGGTTTAGAAGACCCTAATGATCATAAGGTCTTATTTTTCAAAGTATACATTTCCACTTCGCCAATAAGAAATTCAAACTTTGTTCATTACAAAAGTTATTTTTTTGGTTACATAAGAAACATTTGTTTACCCTTAGAAAGCTTTTAACCCTTAGAATTTAAATTTGGTGTATAAACATGTATAAAATTAACAAAAAAGTTGCAAACTAATGTATTTTCAGGAATTTATTCTCATAATTTTTTGGCTTTACCTTTAAACAAAACGTTTATTTTGGTAGGAGGAAGCTACGACTCCGAATATGATAGAATCCGCCTCGCTGGACTACAAGAAAGCACACCACACGGATCACGATCCCAATAACCTTATTCACCGTTGGATTAAACCTTGATCATACGGCTCTCACAGACCCTTCATCTTTCGACACGGATCGTCTCTCTCCAACAATACAATCTCAAAAAGCTTTCAAATCTCCGCCACCACCTATAAAACCGCCCACCACAATCCACCATCTCATTCATTAACAAAACACCAAACCCTAATTTGAAATCAGATCTTCTCTGCTTCAAAAATGTCAGGCCGTGGAAAGGGAGGCAAAGGACTGGGAAAGGGAGGAGCAAAGCGTCATCGCAAGGTTCTTCGCGATAACATTCAGGGAATCACCAAGCCTGCTATCAGAAGGCTCGCTCGTAGGGGAGGTGTGAAGCGTATCAGTGGTTTGATCTATGAAGAAACTCGTGGTGTTCTCAAGATCTTTCTAGAGAATGTCATCAGAGATGCCGTGACATACACCGAGCACGCTCGCCGGAAAACTGTTACCGCCATGGATGTGGTTTATGCTTTGAAGAGACAAGGCCGTACCCTTTACGGGTTCGGTGGCTAGATTTAGTATTAGATTAGCTATTTTCGTAGATTATTATTATGTAAGATGTATCGTTTGTGTTGAATTTTCAATTAAAGCCGATGTACTCCATCTCGGAGTTTATGGTGTTTTCTTGCTATGAAATCTCTGTGTTCATCCATATCCTGTATTTTTAACTCTGAAATGCATTTGATTTGTTAAATTACTGCTGGCACCGATTATATATGTCCTGAATTGATCATTATAATGTATCTTCATGTCTAGTTAGCGTTGCGATTCTTGATGATTTAGTGTTCTTTGAACAAGAAGTTATTAATCAGAGAGTTGGGGTTTTCTGGATTTTAAAGTATCTGGTTTTTTTTTGTTCATTTGTATTTTTATGAAGCTCATATAGATGTTTTATACGAAAAAATACCATAAGTTCTGTTATTATTTGCGTTTTTATGTAATTTATTTTGCTATGTATAAGATGAAGTTACCTGTAATTTTAATGGTTATATAAATTGACTATGTAGTAGTCTAGCTGTATTTTGTCAAAAAAGAGAAAGAAAGTTGAAGTAGTATTAGCAAATTGCATATCATGAGATGAATGTAGATTCAGCCGTCTATCCAAACATCCATATGTTTGCATATTTAGTCTAATACTTAATTTCCTACATTTTGGCAACTTTTATGTCACATTTTAGTCTCTTATCTTTCATTTTATTCTATTATAGTATAAGTTTATAATATATGAAAGACAAAATTGCAAAAATGGTCCTTGTGGTATGTAAATTTTGGCGGTTTTAGTCCAAGCCACGAGTTTTTTTAGATTCATGGTAATTTTGGAGTTGTATGTTGAATTGGTTTCCAGACTTAATTTCCGTTAAAAAAGATCTGTTAACCCCCTCGTGTGCCTCACACGTGAGGGTATATCCGTCATTTCATATGTAAGGGACCATTTTTGCATAACCGTTTTTTGGCTTAAGTCCTTTTAAATATCCCCACTGCCTGCTATCTTCTTCAGCAAAGTTCCCAACGTCTCTTTTTTCTACCCTTCTTATTGAGCTCGGTTACAACAATGGTTCTATGTTTTTGTGGAAAAGTTGCTGTGGTGAAAATGTCTTGGACCCTCTAAATCCAGGAAGGAGATTTTTTGCATTCCCTATGAATGATTCCGTTTGTGGGTTTATCGGGTGGCTTGATCCCCCAATGTGTGCTAGGTCTAAAGCCATCATACCTGGTCTGCTAAGAAATTTGAATTCAGTGCAGGAACGGTGCAATGAGTTGGTTAGAAGTGTGAACATGTTACAGGATCAATGCAATGGACTGATATGCAAGAACAACATGTTGGTGGCAAATTGCAAAGCATTGAAGAATGACAATTTAAAGTTGAAAACGTACCTGTTTGGAGGGTTTTTTTTTTTTTTTTTTTTTTTTGTGATTGTCTTCTTCTGTGTTTTGTTTATGTAGGGGTTTACTGTGAAGGGTGTTTTTGGAATTCCCAACTCTACCCCTTGTATACTCTGGTGAGAAAGTATCATTATTACTCCCAAAAAGAATTAGAGATATGTCCTCACCAATAGGCTCATCATTAACATGGTTCATATTTTTCGATGGAGATTCTACATGATCTTGACCCTCAACTTCATCCCCTTGATCATCATTTTCTGGCAATTCCTCAATGACAACTTTACCCTTTGCATTTGGAAACATGAAGTAAGTCAGTAAATTTGTCTTCTTATGCTCTGTGTATACCTCAATCAGCTTGTTATGTGCAATGTATTTAGAAAGGTTGATCACATTTTGATCATTCCCTAAAGCTCTAAGACCAAATTGAAAGTCACCATTGGGTATCCTAAAATGGTAGTATATCACTGGGGATTCATCAGCAAATTCAGAATTCTGTGAGTCTGGGTAACCTAGTTCAAGCATTATGGCGTCAAGTTCATGTACAGAAAACTCATCTATGTCCACATAATCAACATAACGCACTTCACCTCCAATGTACTTTATATCAGGTAACTTAGTAAATTTCCCACTATGATGAAGCTTAATAGTAAACCATGTGGGTGCACCCGCTAAAAATCAAAATTGTACATATTAACAAAGTCAAAATTTTGCTTTTTTTGTTCTAAATCAATATAAAATTGCAAAATATGAAAGTTAAAGAAAACATAGCAACTTACCATATACGGCTGATACGTCAACAACTTCATTTTTTGGTCTGATCTGCCACCTTACGAACACCATTTCAAATTAAACGTATTGCCTTGTATGTGTTGCGTCGATTAACTTGTTTCGATAAGGAACAAGGTTTTTTTGCAGGTTCAATGGAGCAGATGCAAGAAGGAGGGAGTTGGGGAGTTGACGGGTGTCGGGGAAAGTAATGAGGGGTAAAGGTCAAAATAAGCCAAAAAAAGGTTTATGCAAAAATGGTCCCTTACATATGAAATGACGGATTTACCCTCACGTGTGAGGCACATGAGGGGTTAACAGATCCTTTTTAACGAGAGTTAAGTCCGGGGACCAATTCCACATACAAACCACTCCAAAAGGACAATGAATACAAAACACCCGGGGTTTGGACTAAAATCCCAAAAAAAAGCATACCATAAAGACCATTTTTGCAATTTTGTCTATATGAAAATTATATTCATAAAATAATAATTATTCATTATAATATTATGAGATATGTTAAATTTTCATTAATTAGTTATAAATATAAAACTGTGTTTTAAATATGTCATTTTAATAAAATAATATCTAATGTGTACTAATAATATGCAGATAATTAATTTCATTAATTTTATAATAATATATTTTAGAAAGTTTTTACATAAAAAAATATATAAATAAATAAGTAAAAAGCTAACAAGTTGAAGGGTGCTTACGTCAATCTATATAAGTTTAAAAAAAGAATATATTATAAAATATAATTTTTAGCGTAAAAAATGATGCTAAAAACGAAAGAGTTATTTACATATTTTTTATATCATTTTGATGTAAAAAATAAAGTAAAGTTGAGATGTTCTTAGGCGTTGGTGTAACACGAATATCATTCTCACCACATTGGTGGTTCATGATATTTACGATAAGATGACACATTCTAATATGAAGAGTTGAGACTTAATTTCTTTGACTCTTTATTTGACAGGTGTTTTAACGGCAATATTTTAAAAAAAAAGTATCTTTCATTAAATATTAATGAGTCCCACTTTTATATAAATACTCAGTTTTTACTATAATGTTTTTGTACTGACTTTTTTTTAGTACACAAACCACAATACTTTCACATAGAATTTCTTATTCCCTATGTTGAAACGATTTCTACAACCATCAAATTTCAAAACCCAACAATATTGGGAGGAAAATAAAGAAACCGTTTTAGCTCATGCTTGAATTTCGGTGTCCGGAGACCCTCCAAAAGAAGGGAAACCTTTGGTAGTTTATTCGAAACCACTTCCACCACAAAACAGGGAAATATGTTTGCCGACATCTTGGCGGGATTGGTTAAAAATAATCAAATTCAACGGCATTTACAAAGATCTAAAAAACACACATCTAAATAGGAGTAACAACTCTGAAGTCATTGATGTGGTGCTGAAACATTACCAAAAATTCCAACTAAACCGTATACATTTTCCTTATATCAATGTTTGGTATAAGTTGCGTAATTTTCCGAAACCGTTTTCATGGACACATGCAAACGTTGAAAATGAAAACTTATCCCGTATTAAGTAATTTTCTTTTTATTTAAATTAAAGTAACTTTTTTTTTCCTACTTTGCAATTTTCCTTTTTATTTAAATTAGTGTAATGCTTTAATTTTAATTGAAATCTAGTATTTTAATTTATTTTCTTATTTATTTTTGTTGAAAATGATAATGAATTGTTGTAAGTATACCAAGTTCAATATGGTATGAACATGAGATGACCACTTTTTCATATGACATGATATAACAAGTTATAGATTCTACAAAAGATGCTCAAGTTCAAACTTTAACAGCATCATTTTTCTTTGTTCCACAATAAGTTTTAACCATTCCGACATCAAAGAAACGTAACAAGGAGAAAAGAACACACGCATGTAGCAATCTGGTTGGTAAAGGAATCTCCAACCCAATACCAAAACCTCTACACCATGTTGGTGTAATTCATAAATTTAACACCGAGTTTGGTGTTTTATTTCTTTATATCAAAATGGAGTAATATTTTCATGTGTCAATTTTAATCCTTTGGTTTTCATTTCATTTTATTTTACTTAGTTTTTATAAATAGGTATCTCCTAACTATAATAACTATTCATTATTATATCATGTTATATATTAAATCAACATTAATTAATCATAAATATACCAAAATGCGTTTTAAATATACTTATCTCACGCCAATCACTAATGAATAAGAGTTGTTAAATTTATTAAAATGACATGACTATTTTGGCTCTAATTTTATATTTTTTTATTGTTATATAAAGTGTCTCACTACCCAACTCGTTCCCCTTTGATGTTAATAAAAAGTTTATGGAAATTGATGAATGGTTGAGTGTGTCGTAGGCTGATAGGAAAAAGGCAACTTAGACCGCATGAAACAACAATCAAATGTATGCAAGTTGATATAACAAACCGAAAAGTAATATGATATCATCATCAAAATATTAAATATCCAAGAATCCACATAACAAAATATTTGCCCCCAAAAGATCACTGAATTTGCTAACGTCCGTAGTCGAAAGCCCAAAAAAGAAAAAGTTAAAAAGTAACGAATATCACCGAAAATAACATTTTTTCAAAAGACAAACCAGAAACATATCCATAACCAGCTAGCTCAAAGGAACACATACCATAACCATACCCCCACAAGCTATTAAAATCCACTATTATTTGAATTTCAATTGGCACGACTCTTAAACACATCAAGATCCATCTCTGTTGGGTCAGTTGCTTGGAGCTCCACCTGGATCCCATCAAGCTCCCTCTTGAATCTATCCTTGGAGCTAGCATAAATCATCTTGGTCCTCACCCTTGCAGTGTCAGGCGA